CCATCAGACAACGCTGTAATAGCGAGAAATGCTTTTTTAATGTAACTCTATCGGATACTGTGGGCTATCCTACCAGAAATGCCAAAGTTTTCGCGGCTTACCTTCCCATTACTCTATCTACTTCATGGAGTTATGCGACTTCCTTGGCTCTTGTTCATTTTTCAAACGCGTTTCCCGCTTTTTCTCCTTTCTTTAAGGATAGTATCGATAGAATTGAAGATAATATTCTGCCGCTTTCTGTGCAATCTTTGTACACAGATGGTTCGTTCCATCCTACCAATGATTCTTCGCCCTCTTTCATGACTTCTGCTTGGATTGCTTTTGATGATGTTGGACTTGTTCTGGAATCTTCTTCCATGCATCTCCCTTCTTACTTTCCTTCAGCTTTGCGTTCCGAAATTTCTGCTATACTTTTAGGATTGAACGCCCTTTCCCGTGATTCATCAATCTCTATTCATACTGATTGTAGTCAGTTAATTTCACTGTGGACACGGTTTGTTGATGCTCCCTTTTCACCGAAGTTGCTCCGAGAACCTAATCATCTTCTTTGGCTTTCTATTCGACAACTTATCATGGAACGTAATCTTAATGTCGATTTGATTAAAGTACCTGCTCATGGCGATGATATCTACAATATACAAGCAGATTCTTTGGCAAAAGATGCTCATTCGTCTTTACAACCCACTGCTATACCTTCAGCATTTTGTTATGCCCCATGCTTGTTGACTTTTAACTCCTTGCCTATTGACGTGAATATCCGACATTTTCTCCGCTCTATTGCAGATGCTCGTGCTCTTTTATCTTTATGTTCACTAGCGCGTTTTACTGCTCTTGGTTCTCCTTCACTTTTTGATTGGGCTGGTATATATTTTTGCCTTTCACAAATTAAAGGTTTTGCTTCACATAGGAATGGTCGTCCTGAATTTTGGATCTTCCGCATTAAACTTCTTTTGGATATGTTGCCTACCTTAACTACCCTTCAACAACGCAAACCTTACTTATATTCTCCTGACTGGCTCTGTCCGCAGTGTAATACTGCTCCTGAAGATTTGAATCATCTTTGGACTTGTCCTTATATTTTACCGGAATTAAATCCTTGTTTAACACACCGGTCTGAAGTCATTAAATTTAGAGATTCTTGTTTATCTTCTTTTCTATCCTTGAAATCTTTGGATATTTCTTTTCAAACTGAATTTTCTGCTTTGGATTGCTGGAATTACGAAGTTCCTTCTTCATCCTGTCTTTGGCTTACTCGAGGATTGTTGTCTGCGCATTTAACGGCATTTTTGAATCGACACTTTCCTCTCTCTGTTATATACAAGATTATTTCTCCCCTTCTTAATGACTTCCAAGTCGAATTATATGGTGAAATTTGGCTGTGTCAGAATGTTCTTTTCCATGCTTGGGAAGAGTCGCAGGGTATCTCGGCTGCTTCTAAATTACGTGGCCCATCTACAAATTCTTCTCCTAATACTACTTCTCCACATCAACACAACTCTTCTTTGGCGTCAGTCTCTCAGGATTCCTGGATTTCTTGGATATCCTCTTCTATAATTCAGGGTGGATCATGGATATCACACTTGGATTTTCTGCGCCGCTTAACAGTTCAACCTCTTAGGATATCTTTCTGGTAACAGAATAGATTTTTGGATGTTGGATAGTTGACTCACACTGGCCTTCGGGTAAAGTTGGGGTATGCGATTCTGTAATAGTCTAGTTTTTCTTTGCTTTAATTTTATTTTAGTTTAGATTTCTTTACTTGTATGAGTCGTGAAGCTACTCTTTTTATTTTTATTAGTTTATTTTCTTATTTTGTAATATTGTTCGTTTAAATTCTCAATGTTTAAATATAAATAAAAATAAAGTCACAAGACTGTTTGCACAATAAAAGGATAAAACTACCACCATTCGATTCGTCTCAGTGAGAAGATTCTAACAAGCTATGATACATCTTTGTACGATTATTAGATGCCAAGTTATTTAATATATTCTTTATATAACTGTGATTATAAACGGTTCTTTTTAATATAAGATTTTTGAGGATAGGTGTGATAGTGACTATAGATAGATTGTGACTATATAGGATAGATTTTAATAATAAAGTGTTTTGAACATTCAACTGGTGTGACTATATAGTAGAATGTGACTATAACGGGAGTGACTATAGAGGGAGTTGACTGTAGCTGTAACAGTAATGCATGTGTAATCGTGTATCAGAAAAATATCAATTAATCGTCATGCAATTAATTCTCAAATGTATATATTGAAAATAATAATATACGAGAAAGTAAATACTATGACCGACCAGATAAAAAATGATTTCACATAAATGATTTTTTATTTGATTTTGTTATCATATGGATCATAAAAATAAATATTCTTTTTCATTTGACGTAACATACTATGGATTGAATAACCCTCCTTTTAACTATATATGAACTTCTTGAACTTAGATTATTTGGAAATAAAAAAGCACTTAAATGTACTTTTAATGTGAAGCGTCTAAACGTGACAATCTTTGGTTTAAGATTACTAAGTTTAAGACTGAAAAACTGAACTTAAAAATGGAATAAGTAAAGTTGCTGGAGAAACTAGGAGTTTTGGCAAGTTGGCGAAATGCCAAAATAGCGAAACTTTGCCAAAACTATATGAAAGTCTTATTAAAAAGTTGGCAAAACTCTGGAGAAAAGCAAAATCTGACGAAATTTATTATAAATGCTGAAACTGCCAAAATCTTATCGAAACTATCATCAGTAATATTTTAAGGGTCGTAATTGAGGTTGCGAATGAAACCACATAGTAAACGTGAAACTTGACAAAACTATATTAAAATATTAATAAAAATTTGGTGAAATTTGACTATAAAAATCATATGAAATGACAAAACTATAATAAACTCTTATAAAAAAATTAACGAAACTGAGGTTTAAACATTTTGCCAAATTCAAAAACCAGTTTAGCCTGCAACCTTAGTTAAGATCTACATGGATTCTGTAAATTTTTATAGAATCTCAAAAGATCTGTGATTTTATGGATTCTTTAAAAATCCTTGTAGACTATTGAAAGATTTTTAAAGGATCTACAAAATCATAGATCTTTAAAAATTCTTAAAACACAAAACCTTAAAGAATTTTTAAAAGATATTAAGCTTTTATTGTTTTTTGCATGTGGGCACAGTAAAATGAATCACAAATCTAATCGAAAAATCTACTATTTTGGTTAATTGTATTATGTTAATAAAACTATATTTAACAATTTTCTGTTTAATGAACCTTTTATTTATTTAATTTCTTTAACTAAACGAAACCTCTATTTATTTTAATTTATTTAATGAACTTCATTAATTTTATTTTATTTATTTAATTTATTTGATAAACCTCTATTTATTTAATTTATTTAACAAACTTCTCTCTATTTAATGAAACCTTATTTATTTAATGAAATTGCATTCTTTATTTCATTAATTACATTTTTTCTTTAGAGTAAGTTATTTTTTTTTGTGTGTTTATATTGTTTTTATTTTATTACTAATAATATACTTTTTTTAGTAAATATGTAGGATTATGAGTGGGTACTATTTGTGGAAAATTTTTCATTATTTCAGTTGAGTAAAGTCAACTATTTGGTTTTTTCTTTTTTTAGAGAAAGTTCACTATGATAGGTGATATTTATAAATCTGAAGCCAGAAATTATTTTTTTCAAAAAAAAAAACTAACTATTTTTTTTAGAAACGACTTAAACTCTCCATTCTAAACATATAGAAAGAGTATAATAGGACTATGGTGAGTGTTTGTAAAACTGAAACTTACTTTTTCAAAAAAACTAACACATATTTTCTATTTTTTTATTTGTGAAGTGCGACACATACTACCGGCCCGACGACATTGTTGCTGTTGGCATCCACCAAGAGAATATTAATTTTTTTCTAAAAGCTCGTCTAAATAATGACATAATACATTCATATTCTCAATCATTAAGAATTGTCACTTGAGCACGATACTCAATTGTAGGGATAATAAGAGCGTTGAATATATATTGCAATTGCTTATTTGTAATTCTCTTATGTTAAATATTTTTGATCAACTTTTTAACTTCTAATTTAGCTTGACTAAGCACGAAATTTTTATCATCGTTGACATTGAATTAAACACCTAATATTCTAATAAATTCACTAGGATCTTTAGGTTTAATATTAATGTATTCCGATCCAAATCTAATCATTAAACTATTTGAATAATTAAATGATTTATCTATTTTTTTCAATAATAATTCAGACTTGTCTTTATTAATTTTAATATCATTCAAATTATAAAATTCATTCGCAATATTCAACATTGTTTCCAATTGAAGTTGATCTTTTGCCAATAATGTGGTGTTATCCATGTATGCTTTTCCTGGAAATATAATTGATTCTTTAATATAATCGGAATAAATATCTTTTTTATATTTTGCTGTAATTTTGTAACCATGACTTTCTTGTTGTAATTAGCAGAGTAAAGGATCATAATATATACACCAGAGAAGCAGTGAAATAATTTCTCCCTGGTCGATTCCTATTAAAATATTATAAGGATTAGTTTTACCAACTGCGGTAAAAACTTGATTTTTTCAGTCTAAGAATAAATCACAAATAATTGAAATAAAGTTATCTGGTAATTTTAATCTTTTTATTGCTTTTTTTAACATATGAATGTTGACTCTATCATACGCTTTTGCAATATCAAGAGCTAAAATCCATAGTTTTTTTTTATTTTTAATTGCATCTTGGTTAAACTTAGATTCTACTTAATACGTGATGATCGAAGATTAAAAGAAAATTCAGGCCCATAGACTATTTTACATTATTTGGTTATATATGTTTTAAAACCAAAAGGTTTTGTTTATATTATCAACAACCAGATTTTTCACAATCTGAAGATGAAAAACAATTTTATCAACTTACTTTATCTAATGAGTTTTGGCTACGAAATGGCAAAAATTTTGGTCAAAAATATATCAGAATGGATTCAAAATATGATTTAAATAATGATAGGGCTCCAGTATTAGTATTTGTTGCTGAAAATAACAGTGGTTCTGGAACACCACTTGCTTTTGGTAAAAAAATTATTTTATGCAATTTAATGAATTAAAATATAAATAACAATAAATGTATTTACTTATTTATTATTTAGGAATAAGCAATAAAGAAAACTAATGGATGATAAAATTATCTATAAAAGCGATAAAAAAAAATATTCCATGTGATTAAAATGGTTGTGAACATATATGGAGTTATATTGATTTACCAAATGGTAAAGGATTTAAAAGGATTAGAGAATGCAATTCTTCTAATTGGAATTCTTTAGTTATGATCGATAAGCATAGACCATCAAAAATTGCCATAGACAATAATTTACGTGGAGCTATATTATGTTGGTTCCATATTATGCATACGATTGGAGAAGATTATAATCAATGAAGTATTTCATGGCTATTGCGGTAAGTATACATATTATTTTCACATAAATTTTTTTATTTGGTATTGCCTTTTTTTATAAAATTCAAATAATAAATTTATAATACAATTAGAAAATTATTTAATTAATTAAATTTAAATTTATAATTACAGGTATTCTTTAGCATTAGCATTTAAAATAATTGGACGAAATAGAACTGAATATGATGCTAAAGAACTTGGTTTACTTTATTAAGATTTTGTTAATTCACTAAAATTATCAGAAAACGTTAAATAAAAGTTAATAACTGATTTAAATTAAAATTGGTTATGCAATGAATGGTGACTATCTTTATTGATGCTGGACGCATATTACCAAACTTCGAATGTATTATGACTACAAATAATTTTACAGAAAAATTAAATAGAACAATAGAAGTAAATTATAGTGGAGTTCAAACTGTTGTAAATTTTGTAGAATGTTTATATGGAGTGAAGTTAAAAAGAGAAAATATAACTGAAAATACTGGAAAATTGCAATTTGAAGCTGGGTTAGCAATATTATTTGATATGAAGTCAATTGAAGAAGTAAGTATTACAGGTGTCTTTGTTTTTAATTGTTTATAGCTTTATATTTATAAATTAACTATAATAATAAACAATATAATTAAAAAAAATTGTTCTAAAAAATTATCATCTGATAAACTTCGAAGACTTAATTATGGAAGGCTTTATTTTTTATTGGAATTTGTTGAGCCTTTAAATCATAATAATTATTTTTATGTTCGAAGTCTGATAATGTTTAAATATTAGAATCATCATTTGATGGTAAATTTATCAAATTAGATAAAGAAGCAAAATAATTTAAACTTTTTATTTAAAAAGCTGGAATAAAAACATCTGGATAAGGCTTTATATCGATGTAAACGGTCGAATATCAAGCATGAAAAGATGATAAAATTCAACCACCAAATGTAATTGCCAAATATTAAGAACGAACAAATTAATTATGAATTGGCGTAGATGGATAAATAATTAGCCGAAAAGGATAAACATTTAGGAAAAGTAATGATCTACATGATGTAATATTTATCGAATAATTGACAAAGAACCAATAGGATAATTAGAGTCAATCAATTATCAAGCATGAAAAGATGATAAAATTCAACCACCAAATGTAATTGCCAAATATTAAGAATGAACAAATTAATTATGAATTGGCGTAGATGGATAAATAATTAGCTGAAAAGGATAAACATTTAGGAAAAGTAATGATCTACATGATGTAATATTTATCGAATAATTGACAAAGAACCAATAGGATAATTAGAGTCGATCAATTGTGGCTTAGCAATCTTTAACAATAAGAACAATTAGAAAGAATAATTATAAGCCACAAAAGATAGATTATAAGCAAAACACATAAAGCGAATTAAAAGAACATATAAAATAATGTCAGAAAGATTAAAGAACATAAAATAATATAAAAGATAATATAAAAAGATAGTATAAAGATGGAATATAAAAGATAACATATTAAAAAAAACATATATAAAAGATAGCATATTAAAAGATAGCATATTTAAAATATAGATAGCATATTAGAAAGATAGTTCAAAGATAATATGTAAAAAGAACATAAAAGATAGTATATAAATAGAATAGAAAGTAGCATAAAATTTGTATAAATAGAGAGCGGAATTCAAAGTAATTCCAAAGTTCTCATACACAGAACTCAATAAAAATATAAGTTTCATTTAATTATTTGTTAGTGAAGTTTAATGTTAATTAAAGGTAATAGGTTCGCCCTAAACTTTAATTAATGTTCGCTTCTGTCTCTTATACACATCTAGATGTGTATAAGAGACAGGCCCTAAACTTTAATTAATGTTCGCTTAATTAATTTTAATTGAATAAAATGGAAATTTCAAGATGAATTAAATATACGTTTTTGAAAAGTAATAATTCGTAGCGAGAGCTATCGAAGTTTGAAATTAAAGGTAAAAGTGAATATAATTTGGGAAAAATTTAAAGAAGTTAATTTTATTTTATATCGGTTGATGTTTTATATTACTAACGCTATTTATGTGATGAACCAAGAATGTTGTTGTATGTTGCTTGTTGATTATGTTGTTTGATAATTATGTTGTTGATTATTTGTTTGTTTGTTTATTTGTTCGTTCATTCGATTATTCGTTCATTCGACCATGAGAATGCCCGTTCGATGTGGCAACTCTGTAAATTGATGACAGAGGGAATTGGGGAATCTCATCGAGAAATGTTATGGTTATGGTTATGGTTATGGTTATGGTCCCTCTTCTATAACTTTGGAATCCTGAGATATTTCAGAGGATAATTCTTCGATAAGTTTTTTTAGCGTACCCGATACTTTCTTCTCACCTGCCTTTTTCACTTTCTTGCTAGACGATTTTTCAGTTGATTCGCCTGAATCATTAGGTCATTTTTTTAGCACATCACTCGAACCCGGGATTCTCAAATCATCAGTTTCCATATCATCGGCTGAAGTACAGATAGGGTATCTTTTGCGTAGATCGTTAATGCAATCTAAATACACAGCATGATTGCAGGATAAAAAGATGGTGTCTTTCAAAAACTTTATGGAAATTTCTTCGGAGCATTTCTCACATATAGGGCGTTGGATTTGTCCGCTAGAGAGTTCCTTCGAAATCAAGTCATCCAAATTTTCGGGATTACCAGGTGTAGTGCTAACAACCTCAATAGGGCTAGTTGCCTGGTCAGAAGTTTCTTTAATGATCTGAATAGAGCTTGATGTCTTGTCGGTAGTCTTGGACGAACTTTGTTCCTCTTCGCCTAATAATCCTAGTTCGTCCATTAGTGTTACATCATCATTCACGGGAGTTTGATTTCTCGAATCCACTGGCTTAGTGACATCTGCAGTTGAGGATGTAGGTTTGCCCGTTTCCTTAAAAAGATCCGGAGAGAGAAAAGTTTCAATATCTCTATTACAATTCTTATTCGGGCATCGCGCTTCTTTATTCACCAGATACTTTTTGAGACACTTCTGGTGAAAGATGTGTCCACACGAAGCTAGGGTGAATTCTTGGTATGACAGGTTTGATGCGAGTGAATAAATCTCTTTTCCACATAATGAGCATGAATTCACATCCGGGATACCAATATGCGTAGTAAGGGTGCTAGTAAAACGGAAGATATTTTTTGCGAGCACTACGATGTGTGTTCTATCCATACCGTCTTTGTGTATGAGTGAAGAGTCTTGAGCAAAAAAAATGATCATTCTCTTTTATATCACTTGTAAATTTCGCAGGAGAAAACATTCACCGGATTTTCACCAGCAATTACGCACTGCATTTCGTCATTCCGTTAATCCCCGCAAATTGATAAAAATGACTTCATGATTAGCATAGATGTCCCCAATCTCATATGCGAAATAATGATTGCCAGAAAAAATATCCATATCCGAATATTGTTTTAATATGATTATATATATTTTTTCGCGATACTTGGCCAGAGGCGCTTACACATGATGCATGTAATAAGTTTTTTATTACTACGTTCTCCAACTGCTTCTCTTCCAGTTTTGCAAGTCTTTCTATAAGCTCAGCATTCCTTGCCTCAAGCTCAGCTTTCTCGAACGAGCTGGCTCACCCAGTTATCTTGACCATAAGTCTGGCATTTTCTTCTCTAAGTAAGTCAAACTCGGATTCCATAACACTTTTTATGCAAGCGAAAAAAAATAATGCGAGATATATATGCGATTTACACATCACACAGCTCTGGCAAGAATTTTCTCAGTATCGTACTGCGCATTTCAGGTGATCAATCTCACATGACTGGGTCTATGCAAGATCTTTTGTATATCTAAACATACAACTTATGTGATAAGATCTTTGTCCGAAGCTTTTAGTAACTCCTATCAAACTTGCGGTATATTGGAATTTTTTCATAACGTTTAGGCTTAAAAAAGAATAAAGTATAAAGTATAATTTATAAAAAGCTATTTTATTGGATGATTACACCATCATCGCGTGATTTAAGAGTACACATCACTCAAATATTTTATGATTTACATAGAGGATTATTTGGAAAGGTAAAAATTGATGGACAGATAACAATAATCTTCATTAATGAATTAATTACATGTACTCAAAAACTGGGTGAGCTTTTCTTCATCTGTACTATCTAAAAATTTTATTGGACGGTTCAGTTCGTGTGCGTATGCAAGTTGGTCGGTAATATCATTATCGATGAATGCATGCTCTACTTCATCACCAGATTTTTAATCCCAGACTGTAATCTTTGCTGGGACCCATTTTGTCCAATTACGTCTATCGCTGAGACGGACTTCAAATATTTTATTTGCATGGATTTCAGCTACGCCATCTCCATAACCTGAGCCTGCTATAGGTCTCAAATTCCATCCCTCATCTCCAAGTGTTCTTTTAATTTAAAATGAAAAGATCGTTGAAGGTGTACCTGTGTCTATGATGCATTCATATTTTTTATGATTATCATAACGATCATCATATAAGTTATAATTGATCAGAGCAACTAGTTCAGGTTCTTCAGGTCTTCTAACGCCAACTCTGGCCTTTATTTGAAAAAAATTAAACTGTTTTGAGGACTACATGTACTAAAACTTATAATTAAAGTTTTAAACCCCAATTTTTTAATTTTAATTTACAATTCAAACCTTGTAATCACACCCATTATCAATGACATGCTTAGTAGTTACCATCTTTCTTTTTTTACTGTGTGGCAGACTTTTCTGATTAACTGGAAGTTGTATGGCACCAGGCATCTCTTTGAAAATGTGGTTCAATTCATCGTCGCTATACTCTTTTCCATATGCCTTTATTTCCTGGTTGTATACGGTCACCCAATCATTTTCGTGACCTAAGAATTCCTCTTTCAAGTGCATTGTAAAAGAATATAATGTCACGCCCACTTTGAACATCAATATTAGACCCGGTACCAGTGATCTGATGGAAACAATATCTTCTCATATATTCTGGCATTGAGGGGGGCCAGCTAAAGTTATTGTTCGTATAAGCTATAAATAGATCAAGAAAATAAATATCAAGACACTACTATATATATATATTGCCATTATGCTATTCAAGAAATAAAAGTTTTATTACCAAGAAACGTTTTCATTTGGCCAGGCCTATCCTCATACTTTGAGAGAGTTTGAGACGTTTCAGGTAGATTTTGAACTGGCTTAAGAGATCCCATTACTCGAGATAAAATAAAAAGTTTAAAAAGGCTGGCTATTCTAAAATCAATTGACAGGATTACTCAAGATATAGCCGACACCCAACAGACGTTAAGTGATCTTAGTATGAATGCTTTTGACAATACAGTACGTGTTTATTATATATTTATTTGGAAAAGATTTATATTTAGCAAACGAGACTGTAAACAGAAGCCAAATTGGAACAAGTGCAATAATTGTGCAATTTACAAAAAGAAAACAAAGAATACGAGAGGAAGTAATATAATAAACAAGAAAGCAATTTTTTTAGGATCAACAGGAATAGGCATGACGAATTTGATATATATCTTATAATTTTTTTTTGTACATACTACGGACGATAGTAACACCACCAATTTTTTACATATTTATATAAAATCTATTGTCACACAGATTAATTTAGTGGTGGACACTGGGGTAAAAATATGAATCTTGACCTGTCACATGGATTAATCTTGACTCACTGCATGCACGTTATCGATTACATATATTTTACAATACACCATAAATAGGATCAACAACGTGCATGCAGGTGGGTCAAGTTTCACATACGTGACAGGTCAAAATTCATATATTTGCGACACTGGGACTGATTTATAAAAAAAATAAAATATACCATTTTTTCAGGTGATCAGTCTCACATGATTGGCCTATGCTACGAATGTGAACTTAAATTTATCGCTTGAATTGTTGCAGGTAAGACAATATTCTGTTCCATTTCTATGCCATTCGCCATGTAATACATAATTTCCATGCTTTTCATCGCAAATAGGGCATGGTGAACTCCACAGCTGAAATGATGTAAAATCATAATTATCAATCCCTCTGAAACTATTTCTGAATTTCAAGTATGGGAAGTGCTCTAAGACAGATTTGATAATTAATTCTGGATCGGGTCTGATTTCAAAAGTTATAGGCCCTTTTTCTTCACATTGCTCAGAAGAAGATAAATAGGATCATCAGCAAGTTTGAAAAGTGTTGATTCACACCAGTATACGCGTTGATCAACACCAGCTAGTTGTTCAACGCGTTTTACAATATTAATCAACACCCGTATACTGGAGTATATCAAAGCTTAATGTTAATATACGAGTCATTCAACTCTAATGTGTAGTTCAACACATTATGCATTGTTGTTCAACGCACTGTATATTAACACAACTATATATATAATATATTAATTAAATTATATTTATTTTGCTCACCTTAGGAACTGAACCGATTACCTCAATTACACTATTAATACGTCAAATCTCACGACCTAACCATTGTACCATTTAATTTAAGTATATATATACATATATTATAATTAATATTTAAAAAAAAAATTTTATTGCATCACGTGTTTTATGTAATGTAAGCTTAATACGCGTTTTTCACTGCCAGTGAACGCGAAGTATAATTATACTATAATTATCATATCATTTTAACTTTACTAAACAACATATTAATTATCTCTACTAACTAAATACTTGCAAGTATAATATACTGTATTTATTGTTTTACGCAATTTATCGAAATTAAAACATAAATGTATTAACAAAATATTCATTTTGTCGTTCGGCACGTTGAACTACTTGTACCAATTCTATAATTGATTCAATAGGCACAAAGTTATACGTGTTTATAATCTTCAACCAAGGACAATCATATTTGTATAATTGTCTTGAATTACAAAAATCGTACCATTGTACAAGGGCAAGATCAAACGACAAATCTTTTTCGATAATTTTAACGTTAATCAACATAAGAACCTAAATATAAAATAAGTAAGTTATTGCTTGGATTATCATTCGTTAGTAGTTCAATATTAAATAAAATTCTGTACCTTGCCAAAACATGCACCACCTTCGGCTGTATTATAATCTTCAGACTCTTCCTTGCTCATGCTGATTGACACATCACTAAATGATGGTTCGTTATAATACAAGCTTTTTGCTCTAATGTAATCCCCGCTTGAAGAAATATTAGCATAACTATACCAACTAATATTAATAGTTTCATTATCGGTTAACCCTTCACATAAATCTAAAAACTCGTTTAACAATTCCAGAAAATATTCTAGAGCCGTTAGAGCTTCACGGGCCAAGCTATTGTTTGATCGGTAATTATTGAAAAACGCATCAAAATCTTGCAAATTAAATGTGCCTAACAAACTATTCATTAGAGTTTTTTGTTTGCGNGTTATAATACAAGCTTTTTGCTCTAATGTAATCCCCGCTTGAAGAAATATTAGCATAACTATACCAACTAATATTAATAGTTTCATTATCGGTTAACCCTTCACATAAATCTAAAAACTCGTTTAACGATTCCAGAAAATATTCTAGAGCCGTTAGAGCTTCACGGGCCAAGCTATTGTTTGATCGGTAATTATTGAAAAACGCATCAAAATCTTGCAAATTAAATGTGCCTAACAAACTATTCATTAGAGTTTTTTGTTTGCGTCTATTAACATTTGTACGCTGAAGTAAGTATTTAATTATCCCTTTTCGGTAAACCTATATATAATATAACAATATTAATTTGTGATAATGCATTGAATATCGTACTAGCTGTAATACTAACCGATTTAATCATTTGATCTGTTGGGTCACGCTTATTACTAGACCTATAGGGTATTTTTACGGCTTCTTTATGTAAAAATTCATACGTTTCCGTTGTAAACCCGTTGATTGCTCCATATTCTCTAATTGTATTAATGATATGATAGCACCAATTATGCAGCTTTGGTAATCGAAGTTCTGATAGAGAATATTCTTTAAATAGTTTTATAAAGCTATTTGCCCATTGTTTGATTAGATTCTTTAAACAAAATAAAATATAATCATGTTAATTGCAATATTCATAAAAAACTAATCATCATATTATCTCGCTATCATACATCAAAAATCACCAGCTCTGATTCCTTAAAATACTCCCGTCGGCTGTATAAATACATCTTATTCCAATAATAATACACGTAAACCAATGCTTCATCAGATCATTTGGCTCGGGATGTACTTATCAATGATTTGTGGTGGTTTATGACTATTCCTTCTATGACGAAAACAAATAACTTCATCATATTAAGAAATTCATTGGCAGTAAACAGCTTAATATTTTCCAGGCCATTCTTGAATATCTTAAGGCCAGAAAATCGTGGAATTTTAGCCAAACGATTATCAAGTTCGTCAACCGCTATTTGACCACACAATTCTTTTAACAACACCCTTGTGTAGATCACTTGATAATTAAACAATCCCAAGTCGAGATGATGCATTCGGTCAGGTATTGTTGACAAATAAATATTTAACTGACTATCATTTATTTTAGAGTAAATATATTAGAAAATAATTGGCAAAATAAACACACTTTCTTTAAAAATCACGTGATACGTACGGATAATTCCAAAAGATGTTTTTCATATCGTGTAGAGAATATTGTTGTGCAGAATTTTGTTCAACAAGACATATCATATTTTCTGGTGTTCTTAAGATAATTAGATCGTTTGTTAACTCCACATTGTTCAGCTTCTCACACTCCACCAAACATTTATGACAAGGGTGGTGACAATTAACAAAGTTAAATGTTAAAGTTACAGCAGCATTTTCTGGTAAATCTCCTAACATTACGGAAATAAACGGAAAACACCACTTTATACCATTATCTGTTTGAAGATCAAATACACCATTATAGTCAAGTAACGATCATGTCAATATATTTAAAGCATATTGATAAAGGACTCGCTTGGCTAACCGAAAACTCTTTGACCTCTTTTGTGAAATATCTTTTGCCTTTAGGATCGGCAGATAACCCAAAAGTATTTTGGCAT